TTCACTTAAACTGGTATAAAACAGATGTACTGTAAAGTCCAAGTCACCTAAGTTATGTAGGTACAAACAAGATCAGAGGCAGACTCAGTATCTTTAAGTACCCACACCTCCACTGTCATATAGAGAGTTTTTTGTTCAACTTGCTAACAATCCAAACACAAGGCATGTTTTGGGAAAGTTCCTATCTGGTCAGGGCTGCAAAGTCACACAGCAGAAATAAGATTAATTAAGATAAGAGACACCGGATACATTTGACATCAGAAAGACTCAGATTTAATTCAAAACTATCTTTGTAACAATATTAAATGAAAAAACCTTGCCCTTAAGGTTCAATTAAAACTGAACTCTCGAATCCTCAAGAGAAATTCCACACATTGATCTTTTAAGAACAAGTCAGGGAAGCAAATTCATTATGGCCTGTGAACTAGCCATGCGGCCATAAAGGGAGAGTGCCTAAATAGAGCATGGAGGAACTTCTACACCACTGTCCAGTCAGGGATCTGTGAGTTTGGTCTGCAGCTTCCTGTGAATCCCTGGTCTACATCTACATGGACAATGCAAAGCTCTCTGCATCTTTTGTGAGGCTTCTTGGAGAGGAGATGACATAGCACACACAGGACCCAGGTCATGGATTTCTGAAGGAAAAAGATTTCCTTCTTCTCTATGGAATGTTTTCCATCAAAGGGATCGAGCTCACATAACATCCTCTTCCAGTAGAAAATTATTTAATCTTTTGTTAGATTTGAAGTTACTCCCATTCGATGCACAATCTGATTATACAAGCAAGTCAGTAAAAGCAAACATTTGCACATCAACTGCTCTGTTACAACCATCAGCTGTCCAAACCAGAAAGCACAATACATATTTTACTGGTATGAGTGTGGTTAAATGGATGCTAGCAAGATTAAATATAAAGACAAGATTTTTTAAAATCGGAGCCCAAATTAAGGCTCCTAGATCTAAATAAATGGCCTAATAAGAAGCCTAATTTTTAGAGGTATGAGCACCCAACAGTTCCTATTAAATTCTGGCCTGATTTTCAATGGGAGTTGCTGAGTGCTCAGCACTTCTGAAGAGCAAGAACCTTTACCTTAAGGTGCCCATTTTTGAACACAGAATCCTAGAAATGTAGGGCTGGAAGGGGCCTCAAGAAGTCATCAAGTCCAGACCCCTGCACTGAGGCAGAACCTAGTAAACCTAGGCCATCCCTGACAGAGGTTTGTCCAACTTGTTGTTTAAAATCTCCAATCATAGGCATTAAGCCTATTCCAGAGTGTGATGGGACACACCCTCATTCTGGTACAGAAGAGACTAACAAACTCTTCCTGGCCTCTTCAGCGCTAGCAAGGCACACTTGCAAGGTTTGTTCAGCCTGGAGGGAGAAGAGCTTAAAAGAAGAAAACTTACAGCAGAAAGGGGCGGTGAATAGGAAGAAGGCTGCTCTGTCCCAGAGACTGCTGGTAACAGAGGTGGTCCAGCCGAGGAGGAGACAGCCACCTCACGCACCGCTCACAAAGCTGGTCTGACTGGCAGCAAAGCAGTACACCCCAGAAGGAGAGGCAAAAGTTAAACCCCACAAAGGAGCAATAGACTGACAGACTAGGCCCATAGGGCTAAATCCCAAGAGACTGCCTGAGAGACTGGCCATCTTTTCAGCCAGATCCTCTTCTCTTGCAAGGGGAGAAGAGGAGGATAAGACAATCCTTTGCCGGTGCGTGTTTGCCTCAGAGAGCTCCCCCAGGTGCTGCCAATTTGGGGAAGAGAGAGAGAGAGAGAGAGTAAATGACAGAGTGGGACCTGGCTGGGGGAGGGGGGGATTCAGGGAGCCCCTGCACCCCACACAGACCTTAACAACCCTTACAGTTAGAAAGTTTTTCTTAATATCTAGCCTAACTCCCCCTTGCTGCAAATTAAGCTCATTACTTCATGGCCTACCTTCAGTGGACATGGAGAACAATTGATCACAATTCTCTTTACAACAGCCCTTCACATGTTTGAAGGCTTATTAGGTCCCCCTTCAGTCTTTTCTCACTGATTAAACCATGCCCAATTTTTTAACCCTTCCTCATAGGTCAGCTTTTCTAAATCTTATTTTTGTTGCTCTCCTCTGAACTCTCTCCAATTTCTCTACATCTTTCCTAAAGTGTTGCACCCAGACCCAGTACTCCAGCTGAGGCCTTTCCAGCATCAAATAGAGTGGGACAATTTCCACCCATGTCTGGTATACAACCCTCCTGTTAATACACCCCAGAATATTAGCCTTTTTCACAACTGCATTGCATTGTTGACTCATTCAACTTGTGATCCACTACAACCCTGAGACCCTCTTCAGCAGTATTAACACTTAGACAGATATTCGCCATTTGTGCATTGGATTTTCCTTCCTATATGTAGCCCTTTGCACTTGTCTTTATTGAATTTCATCTTGTTGAATTAAAACCAATTCTCCAATTTGTCACGTTCATTTTGAATTCTAACCCTGTCTGCCAGAGTGTTTGCAACTCTGTTCCATCTTGATGTCATCCAGAAATTTTACAAGCATTGTCTCCACTCCATTATCCAAGTCATTATTGGGCACGTGCACACACACAATTTTTAAATTAATGTCTTCACCTGTGTTACTAACACAATTATTGAAATTGCTTTCACTATTAATGCTGTTTTTTTGCCTCTCTCTTTACTTGAAAAGTGAAACTAGACTAATCAGTTTTACTTTGTTTTAAAAAAATCAATTAAAATATACCTATTTCCATTAGGTTTTGTATACACTTAACTGTCTTAGTCTTAAAAAACACAATCAAAATGTTGGGTCTAAATCTATGACAACAAAGATTTAAAATTGGTGTCTACCGTAGCTTAGTTACTGATTTTTTCCTTTAGCATATTATACCAAAATACCATGGCAAATATGCTCAAATGTTTTTTCCTCTTTCCCCAGAAAATAAAGGACGACTCCTCTCACTCAAGATGTGAGATGACCAGCATGGCAGCCCAGTATGAATACTTGGCATGAAGGAAGAAAGTAACAGCCAGAAAGAGCCAGTGGTGAAGCAATTCCTACAATTTCTGCATGTACTATATACTACAGCTACAAAGGGACTGAACATGGTTAGAGAACTAAATGGACAGATCCAGCATGAGACTGAGTCATATAAAAGACATAAATCACCAGAAGACATCCCTATTAAACTGCAGACATTGCTCTTAATCATCACTGGGCTTAAATCTGTTCCCAGTTAAACATTCCAATCAAGTGTATTGTATAAAAAGACGGCAAGCAGTCAATAAATGCACAAAATATTATTTCATACAAGAAATTCTCAGAAGATCTGGAATTTTAAAGCATACCAGTTACAGTGACACAATCAGAGAGAGTGAAAACAAAATTTTGTAATTAAAAAAAGTTCTAGTGCCTCAGTGGGAGGTGCCGGAAACCTGAAATTTGGCAAAGATGTAGACCCTAGGAGATGCTTTCCAGTGGTCCAATGAAAATAGTTTTTGATGTGCAAAGTTATAAGGGTTTAACAATTATGTACTTCACATATGCACATTTGTTTTAACATTTAACAAAAAACAATCTGCCAGTGTTCCATTGGCAATGCCCACATAAATAGATTCATAATTTCCATGGAATAGATATATTCCACCTGATCTGTGCATCTGCATGTGTTAGAAAATTGAGTGGGGTTTCAGTTTTAAATATGTAGGTGCTTTGTGGAATATGGTATTGTGAAAAGGAATCGGGGCTCAAATAATAAAGGTGCAGATGGAAGAGAAGACAGGATTCTGAAGAAGGCTATAGTCTCTTCAAATTACGATGCATAAATAGGAACACCAAAGGCTGCTATCTCATTCCTTGCACATATTGTGCAGTCCACAATGTTCTACTAGCATACAGCAAATACTTGCACATGATAGAATTCATTTCCATCAATTCCTTCTTCCTTTTTTCTAAAAAAACTAGGAAGTTCTATACAAAACAGCTGTATTAAATGAACATTAAGGCTACAAAGTGAAGCAAGCAAATGTTAGGAAATGCCAAAATTAGGGCTGTCAATTATTAGGGCTAGATTTTGTGCTGCACCTCTCAGGAGCATCCCTGGAGGAGGAGCTCTAAAGCTACCTTGGTGCCTCCTCAATTCTGCCAGCTCCAGGAGCTGGTGCCACCCTTAAGACTGTTCTTACAACAGCCTCCCCATGGCTCTCAATGAAGTGTTTCACAGTTCAAAACAGCTGTAGTGATGAACATAACGGCCACTCCCTCACCAGGGTGCTGCAAGGGCTGTCAGAGTACAGGTGCCACGTGAGGGGGATTAGGATCTGGCCTTCAGTCTTTAATTATATGATCACTTCTTATTTTTTCCCCTCACAAAAACCATGACTTATTCACTGTGCACAATGGACTGATCAGTGAAGGAGGCAGATGTTTAAAGTTCATTTTTTTTTCTTCATTGTTTAATGTGTGGTCCTGTGCCTCATACACTGCACAACATCAAAACTCTGCTCAGAGAAGAAAGTTTCCTTCATTCTTAGACTTTCCTATGATGCCACTCACAGGCATCTCTGATCACCTAATGTTACTGAATTTACTTTCAGAATAACCCTGTGAGCACTCCATTTTACAGATGGGGGAACTGAGGAACAGACCAATCAAGTAATTTACCCAAAGTCACACCAAAGTGAGACCCAGTTCAGTGTCTTAAACACAAGAGAATCATTTCCCCTCCCTGAGGACTCCTGTCTGACTTCCTGACTACATCAGCTTCATAACAAACTCTATAACTTCAGTGAATGATCCAAAGTTGTTCTGGGCCCAGGCTTGTCCAGTTTGCATACTGAATGAGGCAGGAGTCCTGTGAAAAAATATTATAGGACCACTATAGTTAGGATTCTATCATAAATGCAACACATACATGCAGAGTCTGGAATTATAGCTAATATGGAAAAGGAGCCATACAAAAATCAAGCAGATTGAATAGGTACAGAAGCAATCCACTTACTATCTTTTTGCTCTCTTCCCTGTGGCCAAGTTCTCGAACTCGCTCCATGATAGCCTCCTCAGAGGGTTTAACTATTACAGAACTGTTGCTAAGAAGGGTAGCAACTTGCTCTTTAAAAGCACTCAGCAGGCTCTGAGCAGTCCTGGCCTCGTCTATGCTGCTTTTCAGACTCCCATCCATCTCACTGGAACATCTCTTCAGGTGGTGCAGTTCCTGCTTTGAGGCTTCCCAAGCCCTCTGGCTAGCAGCCAGCCGATCTTGGAGGCTTTTGATCTCCTTCTCTAGACTCTGTTTGGCTGTTAAAGCACTGTCCAGATCCTAAAATACAAAAAACATAAAACCAGGCTTAATCCAGGCCAAAAATAAGGACTGGGGACTAAATGGCTAAGGCTAGGTCTACACTACCCGCCTGAATCGGCGGGTAGAAATCGACCTCTCGGGGATCGATTTATCGCATCCCGTCGGGACGCGACAATCGATCCCCGAATCGACGCTCTTACTCCACGAGCGGAGGTGGGAGTAAGCGCCGTCGACAGAAAACCGCAGAAGTTGATTTTGCCGCCGTCCTCACAGCGGGGTAAGTCGGCTGCGATACGTCGAATTCAGCTACGCTATTCACGTAGCTGAATTTGCGTATCTTAAATCGACTCCCCCCTGTAGTGTAGATGTACCCTAATTTTCAGCATGGAGAGGTGAGTAGCAGAGAGGTGCAGGAACTAGTAGCATTAGGGCCAAAGTTGTTCATTATGGGCCCAATCTTGCAAGTCCTTCACAGACAGAATACTTAGTGAGGCAAATAGGACTCCCATATGCATTTAGAATCAACTACCTTCATGGTATAGTGAATGGGGAAGTAAGATTTGAAGATGACACAAAATTACTTAGATCTATAAATACATTGCTTAGATTGTGATGACTTTCATTAAGAAAAAACGGTGACTGGGAAACTCAGTGGTGGATGAAATTTAACACAGACAAGTGCTGGTAATGCACACTAGAAGAAATGGTGTAAGATTTAAAACTACTTGCATATACTGACGGGGTCTAAATTAGTGATATAGGAAAAGATCAAGGCAACATCTCAGCACACTCCATGAAGATATCTGAATAATAAGGCCTCAGTGGTTTTAAAAAACAAAAACAAAAAGTGACAAGCATACCAGAATTATTTCCACACAAAATAGGGGTGTGGCTAAATGAGAAAAAAGTTATAATAGCATATAAGGAAAGTGCAAATATTCAAATATTGATTGGTTGCCTCATCTCAAAGAAGGCACAGATGAGAGAGAGAGAGACAGGTGGAGAGATGAAGAATAAATCAGATTAGAAGCATGATGGGGAGACTTTCAAAGAAGGAGAAATTTTAAAACTGGGACAATGTAGGGCCACATCACGTTGTTCAAAGGAGGTGAGGAATGTCAATATCAAACTAGCCACCTTTCCCCTTGAGCCTACAGTTGCCCGTGTGTGTGAATATTGCTCAGTCTGGGAAAGGACACAGGACCTGTGATCAAGTCCTGGCCTTGATCACCTTTATTGAAAATGGTTTTTGACAAAATCTAAAAACAAGAGCCATCTTCTTGGATTTGACTGCCACCTATGACACAATTTGGCACAGAGTCCTTTTGTTTAAACTCTCTCAAATTACCCGCATTGGGTGTTCGAACTAATAGAGCTCTCTTTCTCCAACACAGGCAGTTTACAGTACACCTGGGCAACTGCTGTAATTCTTGGAAGTGTCAAATCAATGGCCTCCCTCAAGGCTCAGTTCTTTCACCGATGCTGTTCACTGTGTACATCAACAACCTGCCAGCTATACTCTCGTGCAAGTTCATCTATGCCAACGACATCTGCTGTAGCCACCAAGCTGTCCTTCTCAAAAACTGACAAGATTTTGAATGAAGATGTGAATCTCATGGCAGAGTATTGTAGTCAATGGCACCTGCCGAACTTTTCTAAGACTGTTTCTAGTGTATTCCATCTGTATAATGCAAATGCAAACCAGAAGTTAAACATTTTCCTCAATGGCCAATGCCCGCGGCATGATCCAAACCCAGTTTACCTCAGTGTGACATTGGATAGATCATTAACGTATCGCAACCACTGAGGAAGATGGCAGTCAAAGTCAGCACTCAAAACAACCTGCTCAGAAAATTGGACAGTTCAACCTGGAATGCGAGCGCCCGGAAGCTTAGATCATCAGCCCTTTCCCTCTGCTATTCAACAGCAGAGTACTGTGCTCCTGTCTGGTGTCGCTCATCTCACGCGAAGTTGCTCGATGTAGAGCTTAACAAAGCTATGCATATTGTTAGCAGGACTCTGTTGCCATGGCTACCAATACTTAACTTAGCACCACCCCATATTTGCCATGAAAAGGTCTCTTTCATGCTGCTAGCAAAGATCCATGAGAATAGCGACCTGCCGCTGTACTCAGACCTCTTCAACCACCCAGCAGCTCACCTGTCTTCTAGATGCCTGTAATGGGGTTGGCACCCATCTTTCATCAGCACCTCACATGATCGATGGTTTCTTTGGCAAGTCTTCAGTGACTCAGCCCTCCAGCCACATCACACACACTGTCTGTAGGTGGAACAGACCCCTTTTGATATACAGTCTTTACCTTCTCCCAGCCCTGGCCTTGGGCCATACCTCCAGGGCTTCCTCCCTTAAGACATTATCTTCCTGCAGCCCTCTCTGGGCTGAGTTCTTGCTCAGTCCCCTCAGCCAGTCAGGAGCTCCTTCTTAGGTCTCCAGGTCCCTGCCCACACTGAGATTTCCATGGTCCTGCTGCTCTTTCAGCCAGCCGGGAACACGAGCCTCTTCCAGCTCCAGGCAGCAACTGACAGAGAAGTGTCTCTGCTGCTCCTTTTTATATGGCCCTCCTGGCCCGATTGCCTGCTCCTGCAGTCCCTCTGATTGGCTGCTTCCCTTGCAGCCACTCTAGGCCACTTGGAGGACTTCTCTTCTGCTCCTCTCTGGAACGGGGTGTGGTAGGATTCTGAGGCCTCCAGAAGGGGGCCTCTAGGCCTAGTCTAGCCTGTCACAATTCTCTTTATGTTCATTTATGCCACCACAGGACATGATGGTGGAATCTGCTTGGCACGAGTGGTCAATGAGGACAGTCATTAATCACTCTCTCATCACTGATGCAACCCGTCCATCAGGTTTTGATCTGCCAAGGCACCTGTGTTCATCTCTGACCCAGTTTCAAAGAGGACAGGGCACTGTGCGGCCAATCTCTTTAAATGGGATTTTTCTAGTGATGCAGCTATGGTCAACTTCAGACTATGTCACATATCATTGTCGAGTGCCCACTGACTTATTTTGACGGCAGGCTACCGGCTTTCCACCCGGCTGATGATGACACCATTAAGTGGCTGGGCATGTTGCACATATGCCAATAAGTCTGGACTCTGCAAATTTAGGGGACATGGCAGGGTAGGTGAGGCAGGACAGCAGCCCTATCTAGCATCCCTGTAGAATCATCTTTAGAAATTTCTGAGGAAGTTAATTCTTGCATAGTCCTTCTATGTCCCTTAAAAGGAGTGTACACAGCAGGAATACAGACAATGATAGCAAAGGTCCCAAAGGAGCTATGTTGCCATGAGATGCTGGAGCCTGGAGAATAAGGCATAGGGGCTGCTGCTCTGTGAATACTCCAAGATCCTGGGAATATTCTCATTGATCTCATTGGATCTCACTGTTGTAGAGCCATGACCCTTGCCTCAGCTTGTGTAAACTCACAGCGCTTGCCAAGTAAATTTTCTCTTCTTTGTGATGATCCAGTCATCAGTTTGAGAAAGAGATAGAGGCAGTAGATGTGCCAGGGGTATATAAAATAATGAATGGTATAGAGGCGGCCAGTTGGACCATGCTGCATACACTGTGCTGTGAAATAAGAACAAGAAGCCATTCAATGAAAGAAAACATTTTAACACATACAAAACCAAAAACATGGTTCTGCTTCATTTAATCAGCCCGTGAAACTCTTTGCCCCAGGATATTAATGAGACAAACAGTTTAATAAGATTTTTAAAAGGATTAGAGATTTATGTGAATAAGAATAAACTCCACAGTCAAACTAGCTGGGATTACAATGTAGCAAGGAATATAATCCTTCACGCTTCAGGGCACTGTTTGAGTAACAACTAAAAATGGGAAGGAATTTCCCTTCCCACAAGGTACAACTTTACACAACCAGATGGGTACATTTACAGGGAGTCATTTGCCTTCTCCAGAAGCATCAGGGTTCAAATACTGTGGGAGGCAGGATACCAGACTTAATTGGTCAGGTTTGTTGCAATGTGATAATCCCTGTGTTAAATACATTTAAGAATAAACAAAGAAACAAAACCATATTAATTAGGTGAATACTGTCATTACTCATTACTAAACTAATTTTAGAACTGTCAACCAAATCTTGGCATAGTTCATTTTATGTCCCTTCTTCAACTCTAAAGAGGTCCTCTTAACAGAGAAATCATGCAAATCAAATTATGGGTATTATAGGAAAGAATGAAGGGAGGTCTATTCCAATTATAATATTACTTCATCAGTCTGTAGATTTCCTTTCGCAGGTCGCAGCACAACAGCAACTAGTCAACATAAGTGTGAGCATTAACCAGTTATGATCTCAGTTTTTTTTTTTTAATTTGCAAACAAATACAGTTGCTTCAAAAGGATAAAATAATTCAAAAGGAACATAATTATTGTGCCTCTTTCTCATTTTAAGTGTCATGGGTTATAACAAACCATTTATTTTTAAAAAAAACTTTCTTTTTAAGAGTCATATTTACAAGTCAGCTGATGCATAAATCTTAAAAAATAAACAAATGCAAGTTGAAAAGAGTAGTAAAATTCTATGTTAAAATTAAATGCTGAACAGCTTCATAGATATAGTTTATCAGGTCAATATATGTATTCAACCTATTTTTAATTATAATTTTAGGATGATCTTGCCAATCATAGCAAATGTTGGAACTGCAGACAAGAAAATGCCAATATCTCACATATTCTGTGTATTCACAAAAAATTGTGCATAGTATAAGCCGGATCCAAAGCCCACTGAATTCAATGAAAAACTCCAATTGACTTCAGTGGATTTTGAATCATGGATTGTGGAGGCATGCTGCTAGCCAGGATTTCTCAGTGTGCAAGTCAAATGACTATTTATGATTATGAAGTATGAGTTTATTATACCATACAAATAATCTGGTATCTGACAGACAAGATACTTCACTACCAGTTCTTTCAATGGAATCTTTAGGAAAACATTTTGTTAAATACTATTCAATGAATTTCCCTCTATTTCCGAAGAACAAATTTTACAGCAATTTAAAAAAAAATCTGGCTCCAATTGCATCTCCGGATACTCCTGATTCTCTATGGAAAAATACTTGTAATAATTGTTTTTTTGGTTTTTGTTTTTGTTTTTTTAACTCCCTCAAGCTTACTTCAAGGAATAAAATATGGATTTCTTAGCATACATTTCTACTCATCTATCAGACTCTTACCTCAGAGTAAAATCAATAGTTCTGTACATTCATGCTGACTTACACAACATCCGCCCAGCTACCACTTTGAGAAGGCAATAACCGGGGATACAGTTGTTGAATGAGAGTGAAAACATCACTCCATCGGCATATAGGAAACATCAACACTAAAACAGAGTTCTCTAACAAAAGCATTTTAATCTCCTAATATTCTTGAGACTTCATGAACTTGAAGGTGATAACAGAAAAATACTTTTTTTAAAACTAAGCATAAAAAAAATATCTTCAACCAGCACCCTAACCTGATAAGAGTTTTCCAAACTAAATCTTGTTGGTAATAGCATGTGTTGAAATCTTACCATCATTTACTTTCATTTCACACCATGTTCTTCTACTGAAAAATGCATTTTTAATTTCTAGAAATAGATCTCTAAAACACACAGACATGCACACTAGAAAATAATTTACCTTGCTAAGCTTGTCCGTGTCTTGGGAGTAGGCTACGGCCTTTTTCTGCTCTTTGCTGACTTCCGAAACAAGCCTCATGATGGTTTCTCTGCTAGCTTTTGACTCTATCTCATGAACATTGATAGCCTCTGCAAGAGTGGCAATCTGCCCTTTTAGCATTGTATTTTCTTTATGCATCTGATTGACCTAGACAGACATACCATTCAAATAGTACATATTACTACAATTCTTTACACTGTTTCCTGTTAACTATTGTCTTTACTCATTTAAATGCATTTTCTGTTCCTCATCATCATAAAAAATGTTGTTTGTAAAACCTTTAGGGTCAGATCTATGACTATGTTCTGCTATTTATTTCCAAAGTTTCCTTATAAACAAAATAGAAAGAGCCCATAATATACCACGAGAAAAGTATGCCTTAGCATAGCAAATGTTAATTTGGTTTAGTTATCCACATACAAATTCTCAGCACTAGATCAAATATCATCTGGAGGGCTGTTGTCATTTCTGCATGTCCACACTGATAAGGCAGGGCAGAAAAAAAATAGATTATACAACTATCTTTATGTGGGAAGCAGACAGCTTTTCCATAAGATTTATGGCTAGCAAGCCTTTGGAATGGGAAACCAGCACAGGACATTGAGAAGTGATTTTACATTTGAAATATTCTGAGTCATAGGGAGCCATGTGATTTGGCAGCAGACTCTTCTTGACCATATGAGAGAGTAAGGCTATCTCCTAACAAAAAGGATTTGGGGACTAGATGCTCTTTTGAGCATCAGCCAGAATTCAGGGAAAGATGAGCCCCAAGCATGCGCTTGATCTGTTGAGGTAATGCTGCAGTAACTCCAAGAAGTGTAAAGCCCCACAGGTCTAGAACCCAAGCCTGTAAAACTACCAAGTAGCTGGCAGCTCCAGTCTGCCACCCAGCAGCAGCTGTAACCAACTTGCACTCCATTTCCCATGACCCACTGTGGACACAGACCATGGGAAGTTCCACCTCAAGAGTCTGACAGACAGCAGCCCCATGACTCCTGATTGGCTCACTCCCCTATATAAACCCAAGGAGCATTCCAGGAAGCCTCCAGGCAACTGGCTGCTCTGTAGCTGCCATGACCTTTCCTGCTCGATCTCAGCTTGATTTGAACTTCGCCACTTGACTCGAACCTTGAAACCTGACTTAGACTCTGACACTGGCCTGGACCTGACTACAAACGTCTCTGCTACTCCCAGCTTCAGGTTTGCCACTGCTCTGTCCCTTGGCCCTGACTGCTATTGTGGGAATCCTACAAATCTGGGGTGGGGAATATCTCATGACATTTCAAAAAGAGCAGAAAAATACAGAATTATATATCCCCTTGAGTCCTACTTGAATGATGACTAAAGGTGAAGGTGCTCCTATTCTGTCTTTAACTCTAGTCGTTGCTGAGAGAAAAGACATAGATAAGGGGGGGGGGGGGAAATCCAGAACAAATACTCTGTTCTAATACACACTGCTTTCAGTGTGCCCCTTAGAAGAGAAGTAGAGGTGAAAGACTAGCCAGAGAGTGCAAAAGATGTATTAAAGGCAGGTAGAGGGTGCCATTGATTTCATTTTCCTGAATGGGAGCTCAGCTTTCAAAATTTTGGGAAATGCTGGAAGAGAAAGGTATTAAAGATTTTGTATAGCATTCTCTCAGAACTATGCATAATGAATGAATGAAGATTCAATTGTACCTTGTAGTAATTGTGAGTGTTTTGGTACAGGTTCAGAATTAAGGTTGTTTCAGTGTGTGTCACTGAGAATGTTTCTGTTTAATAGCATGACTGCATTAAATGAGTGTTAAGAGTAGTGCCAGAATTGTCATAGTGGAATTTTATAGTTTTTAATATTTTTAGACAAGCATTTAATTGTATATATTTTCTTGATTTGTACTTAGCAATCGTAATTGTAAGTTAATATTATAGGAACATACATAAGGCCTCCCTGAGTTCAATGAGAGCTGTGGAAGATCAGCTCCTCTGAAAACCAGGCCAATATTTGTAAATACTATTTTTATGGTAATATGCTCTGTATAGCCTTATTTGACAACAAAATTCTGACCTTTAACATTTAAGTTGTTTAAACAAGTGTTCTATTTTTCTATTATAAAAGAAAATTGCTGTATTAAATTTTCTACATCAAACCAAATATTTCAAAGACAGTGCACCCTTCTACATTAATATCTATTAGAGCAATACAATGCAGTTAAATATTTAACAAGTCTCTTCAGTATGTAGGCAAAAATAACTGCACATAAACACCTTTGAAATTAAATGTTTGTGTGGTTCCTCTTTTCCTCTGATGTCCACGTCCAGGAATCCAGAAAGCTGTGTTAAGAATTCGCCATGCTTCCAGCTGATCTTAGAAGCTTGATTCTTGCTTTCTTCACACTCATCCAAATATTTGCTAATCAGCCAAAACAAACACACATCAGGAGGAATATTTAGAAACAGTATTTTCTAAAGCAAAAGGCAAAATTATCTCAAGCTCCTTGCTTGGGCCTACCTATTCTAGCACAACCTTCACCTTCAAGTTAAATGTGGTTTAATGCATATACTATGGGCCAACAGGGGCAGGGAGCACTGTTAGATGCAGCACATTCTGCCCCTAAGAAAGCAAACACCTCACAGCCTTATCAAATGATGCCCCTCTGATGATGGGCTCTGAAGATCTCTCTTCAGTCCATGCCAGCAAGATGATTCTATGATGTAGTTTGTTTGGTAGTTGTCCTATTGAGGAGTAAAGCATGGGTTGGAAAGGAAGGAAACTCCAGAAGCACTCCCCATACACACCCTTGGAAAAATACCATGTATTAAAATCATGTTCTGTATTTTAATAAATAGCATAATTTTTGTAATTGAAATAAATAAAACAATTACTATATTTTTAAACACACTGGATGAACTATTGGTTCCACATCACCAATTATGCATATTTAAGAGGACACTTTAAAAAAAATTCAACCAAAGAGTTAATTTCTGATGGACAACCTTTACTCAAAGCCCCAAGAGAACAGAAAATTCACATAAAGCCAGAGACTTTCACCTTCAATTCTGCACAGAAGGGGAAGTTACTTTTCAGTTAAAGTAACTGGACTTCTTCAAGATGTGTGGTCCATAATCACATTCCACTGATGGTGCACATACAACTCATGAACCTGAGACTGGAGTCTTTTGGTCCAGCAGTACTCGTGCAACACACATGCACCCCGGAGCCTTCATGCTCCTGAGACCTCACACACCAGCTACCACTTGGTTCCTTCTCACCGCAGAACCCCCAAATAGGGACTCCACAGTAGAGGGGATGGAAGGGTGGGAATGTGCATATGAACAATACATCTCAAAGAACTTCCCATTCTCCTTCAGTAAATAACTTCCCATTCTCCTTCAGGTGATTGTCCATATCCATATACCACTGCTGGTGACTCCCAAGCAGTAACTGTGCTAAGGAGGTGGGAACTAACGGTAATTATTTAAACAGAGAGTGAAGAACTCCTTTACTCTTTGGGCTTGGAGGCCTCAGTCAGGATGTAGTGTCTTGGGAACGTGTACATTGATGCCCAAGTGCCTGCTTTACAAATGCAGTAGAACTAGGGTGACCAGATGTCCTGATTTTATAGGGACAGTCCCGATACTCTGGACTTTGTCTTATATATGCGCCTATTACCCCTCCACCCCGTCCCAATTTTTCACACTTGCTATCTGGTCACCCTAAGTAGAACCTCAGAGTTATGAACCTCGGGAATGGAGGTTGTTCATAACTCTGAAAAACACATTATGGTGGTTCTTTCAAGTTTACAACTGAACATTGATTTAATGTAGCTTTGAAACTTTACTATGCAGAAGCAAAATGCTGCTTTTAACCATCTTAATTAAAATGAAAACAAGCACAGAAACAGGTTCCTTACCTTGTCAAAAAACATTTTAAGCTTTTCCCTTTTTTTTTTTTTTTGAAGTAGTTTACGTTTAACACAGCACTGTACTGTATTTGCTTTTTTTTAATTTGTCTCTGCTGCTGCCCGCATACTTCTGGTTCCAAATGAGGTGTGTGGTTGACTGGTCAGTCCATACCTCTGATGTTCGGAACGCTGAGGTTCCACTGTGTTTGATAATGGTAGACTTCACAGTGATGCTACTGGTACAACTTGCATTCTAGTGGAGTGAGCCCTGATGGATGGTGGATCTACCATGGCCACTTCGCGGCATGTTTTAATACCATCAGAAATTCAGTTTTATGGTATCTGGGATGAACTTGCAGAACCTTTTGACCTCTCTGTGATGGAGGTTAACATGAAGTCTTAGTGATTTTCTAAATACTTCTGTTTAAATAGTAGGCCAGTGCTCTCCTGACGTGTAGAGCAGGGTTTTTCAATCCCTGGGTTGTGACCCAGAACTAGGGTGCCAGAATGTGGCACACATTCACATAGGAAGCCCAGAGAGGAGAGTGTACCCCCGGGGGGGAAGGAAGGCCCTGGGCGGTTTCACCCTGCAGTGGTCCTGCAAGACTGGCTGTGCTCAACTCCCTGCTCCAGGAGTTCTTAGCTGGTGCACAGGATTGCAGTGCTGTTCAGGTTTGGTCCGGCTGCTCCTCCAGGCCAAATTTCAGTGAGTGGTGCTGTGACCCTCTGCACAAAGTCGCTACATCACTCTCCCAAATTTGGCCCAGCAAGCCCACAGGCTAAATCTGAGCAGTGCTGCAACCTCAAAGGTCACACTGCCTGGAGTGAGGAGCCGAGCTCACCCTGTCCCATGAAATAGGAGCCACATGAGTTGCCACTATGGAATGCCAGGTGTAATTATTTAGTATTTACTACATTAATGTGTATATTGTATTTCTTACCCACAATATATTTACTAAACCAGATTTTTTTTTTGCACTAAAGCTATTTACTGGTCACAAGAAGCCTCAAAGTTTACAAATGGGGGCTGAACCCAAAAAGGCTGAGAACCACTGGTCTAGAGTGTGCAACATCACCCCAGATTTGGATGCATGAGGTTTTGGGGGAAATACTGGTAAGTGTATTTTTTGGTTCTAGTGGAAGTCTCTCACTATTCTGGGGAGAAATTTAGGGTGTATGCTCCACCTTGTCTGGGTGGAGCACTATATAGGGTGGGTCAGCCATCAGTGCCTGAATCTCCTGTACTGGGCTGGCAGAAGTTATAGGGATTAAAAATGCAATTTTCATAGAAAGGTGTAGAAAAGAAGAAGAGGCCATAGGTTTGAAGAGTAGGTCCCTGAAGTCTGAGAGTACCACTTTTAAGATCCATGAGGATCTAGGTTCCTTGATTGGTGGGAATACCTTAATTAGGGCCTTCAGGAACCTAATTACTAACAGATTGAGGAAAAAATGGTATGGTCCTCCACTGGTGGAAGATGAGCTGAGATGACCAGTAGGTGATGCTTGACTGAACTGAGGGACGGGTTATTGCATTTTAGTCTGGGTAAGTAGTCGAGGATTTGAGGGCTCAAGGAATGATGTGGTACCACTGATTTTTGGTGGCACCAGTGAAAAACGTCATCCATTTTGGCAGGTAGGTTTTTCTTGTTGATTATTTTCTGCTGCTTATTAGAACTTCTCTAACTAGAGAGGTGCAGGCCAGCTCTATTGACAACAGCCACCCTTGCTGTGAGTTGCAAGGATGTAAGATGCAGGTGTTGGGTCTATCACTTGTTCTGAGACAGCAGGTCTGGGAGCAGAAAAAAGGCTCAGTAGGTCTATAAAGTAGAACTGTCAGGGCCACACTGGAGCTATGAGAATTAGCTTGGCCAAGACCTGTTTCAGTTTGCAAAGTACTATGGCAATAAGAGGGGCCGGGGGAAGCATAGATCAGGTCTCCTGTCCACAGTAACACAAAGGCATCTGCGATGGATTCCAGTCTCATTCCACCCCTTGAGCAGAATCTCAGGCACTTGTTGTATTGAGTGGCAAACAGGTCCATTTTGGGATTGCCCCAGTCCATGAAGATGTCCACCAGAATCTTGTCTTTGATCTCCCATTCACAATCTGGGAGGAAGTATCTGTTGAGATTGCCCACAAGCATATTCTGCAGTCCAGGTAAGTGTACCTCCACACCAGCAATAACTGTATGTTTGATGCACCAGTTCCAAAGCGTGATGGCTTCCTGGCAGAGCGGGGAAGGCCTGTCTCCACCTTGTTTGTTGATATAAAACATGGTGGTCGTGTTGTTGATCATGATTAATATGGACTGCCCTTCTGTTAGGTGGAGAAAGGACTCACAGACCTCCAGTATGATTTTGAGTTTTAGGAGATTGATGTACGTTCTCTTCTCCCTTGGGGACCATAAACCCTGTGTCTTTAATGTGTCCATGTGGGCACCCCACTGTAGCAAGGATGTGTCTGTGACTATGGTCTTCGATGGCAGGAGCATCCAGAAGGTGACCCCTCTGCAAGCACTCTTTTTCCCCACCATTTCAGTGAAGACAGGACCATGGGTGAGTTAATGAGAGGCATCCAGACAATGTTTGGAGGGTGTGTAAAACAGCTTCTACTAATCCTGCAAGCAGTGGAGGTGAAGTCTGGCATGTGGTATCAAAAAGGTGCAAGAAGCCATATGATCTAGAAGGGCAAGGCACAACCTTCCATTGGTACATGGATTTCCCTCCAACTGAGAGTTAGAATGGACAGGTTCTCAAATACATCTTGAGGCATGTAGGCCCTGGATGTGGAGACGTCTAAGATCACACCAATGAATTCAGTCCTCTGATCTGGGATTACCATCTATTTCAATTTCTTGACTTTCAGGCCTGACCTCTGAAAGAGGTTGAGTGCATTTTGGATAGCTTCAGATACCTGTTGAGGAGCGGTCCCCCATATAAACCAATCATCCAGGTAAGATTATTTATTGATGTTAAAACTTCTCAGGTTAGCTGCCACTACTGATAGCACCTTGCTAGATCTCCTCGATGCTGTGGAGAGTTCAAAAGGCAGGGTTCAATATTGATAGTGGTCCTTGCCAACTGTAAATCATAGGTACTTCTTGTAGGCAAAATGATGGAGATATGGAAGTACTCATCCTGCAGCACAAGAGATCTGAACCAGTCTCCAGACTCTAGACTTGGGATTATCAGTGTCAGAGGGAACCATCCTGAACTTCAACTTGTGAATGAATGTAAGGTTCTGCAAGTCCAGGATGGGTTGCCAGCCTTCCTTTTTCTTCAGGATAAGAAAACAGCTGCTCTAAAAGCCTTTTCCCCTGGACCGAGGAGGGGCCTCTTCCATCACACTGAGAGAAAGGAGCATGAGGACCTATTGATATTATAGATCCTTGTGAGAAGAATCCTGGGAAAGGGGAATTGAGTGTAGGCACTGCTGAAAACCAGATGGTGTACCCATGTGTTATTGTGTCTTTGGCTCATTGGTTGGGGGTGAAATAGCCAAAGGAACCTCCTGGGAAGGAATGTCATCACATCTTCAACGTTAACTATTTCAGAGACTTCTCTAAAAACACATGTCCAAAATGACTGGTTACATGACACACAATCAAATTTATCCTGTCTTATTCATCAATTTTTCCCCAATATAACAGCAAGTTACCCCCATGTACAGCATGTGTGTACAATATGTTCTCTATGACTACTGTCTCATTTGAAGATACGCCAACCAGGAATTATCTTGAAAGTTAATGAAAATAAATTTCTTTAAGTTACAGCAACAGCACATAGCATTAACCTACTTTTTTTAAAGCCAGAGTACATTTGATCAAGTGAATTTCTGCAGAAATACTTGCACCTCTGATGTGTCTGAAGCCACAAGACCGACCTAGCAAAACTAACCTGTATGTGTATTCTGATCTAACAGTGTATACACTTTTGTGTGGCATGCACAAGGTCCTGAAGACTGTTAAATTGATAAATGCAGCACAGGACATTGCATCTTTTACAGTGTAAAGTTGTATATGACAAAAAACATTGCCCAATGAATAGTGGGAGGGGAAAAAAAATCAATGGATTGGAAAATCTAACAAAAGGCATATCAGAACTGCACATGCTTGTAGATACTGTATGTAAGCTTTCTTCCTACCCTAATAGCTATCACCAGCAATGGTTCTCTTCCTCTCTCTTGGCATAACTATAACTACAAACATACCACAATATCTGAGCACCTTGATATTGCATTATCCAGAATGGTGTATGTAATAGAGAAAAATACAAAAGGTTATATTAATGTAACATTATTAGTTAAAAATATGAAAGCTCAAATACACGGAAATGAAAAATGTTCACAGTAAGTTGAGCCACGTTGTACAAACTGCATATTTTCTAGTGTATACTCACATAAAAAGTCATATATTCATGTATGTATTTAAAAACAAATACACAAATTGAAATTACAATGCATGTACAGCATAACTGAATTTTCCATATTATGAAAACTTTACTTTTCTGGTTTCATGACTATTGAGCATTTAAATATGTAATCTCAATCTTAAGCACAAATTTTTGTATTTTCACTTCCCTGCTTTTTCTTTCAGGGAAAATCCAAGCTATTAGGCTGGAAGAGTTCACAAACTCCACTGGTAAAGCTAGTGGATCTTCTAAACCCTTAGAAATTCAGACTGGGGAGATAACAGACTCAGTGACCTTGGTGAAACTTATAGGAAAGTCCTATAGATTTGCAGCTGCAACTGATTAAACGCTTCACTGGAGTAAACCTCCCTTCTGCAGAGTTTATTTTTAACCTCTGTAAAAACATATTGTTTTTCTGACAGGTGCTACTGGCTGCCATCAGACAAGTCTTTGGTTCCAACAAGCACAGACCTAGTTACGGTCAATAAGTGCATCAAGCATTCTTTCAGACTCAATGGAATAAATAATTTAGCCTCTTTATTTAATACAAAGAGCTATAAACAATGGAGGATGGCCCAGACTATCTGGCAGGTCAGGGATTTCCCTGATTGAAAACACCAGGGCTAAGAGATTGGTTTCTCAGCCTGTGTGTGGTAGAAGCAGAGAAAGCCTGTAGAAGGCATGGTGAATGTGACCCTAAGAGGAAGCAGAAAAAGACATTGTCAGGCACAGAGCTCGCTGGAGTGGCACACTTAGGGGTATCTAAGCTAAGAAAGTGTGCCTGCTCTTTGTTTCTACTATGTTCAGGGAAACTGGGCTTTGTGTACATTATTTGTAAATAAACAAGATTACACCAAAGAATATACCTGACTCATATCAAGTTCTCTTCCTAAAGGGCACAACTCTGCAAGGCCCTGAATACTGGCTAACTGCCCAGGCCAAAGGGGCAATAATATTAGGGTTACCATACGTCCTCTTTTTCCCGGACATGTCCGG